ACCTGCCGACTAAGCAATTTTCAATTTGCGTGGATAGATTTTCAATTAATCTATTAAATTAACATTTATGTTTAACGAGTACCTAGGTTACCTGCTACAGGGAAACTAATAAAGTGTGTTTTTTTATTAAAATATAAATAGCGTAGTATGAAATGAAATAAATAAATCTGCCAAGTTTGTTCACAATATATTCATAAACAAGCCACTACAACATTTTACAATATCCTCCATAAGAATAACAAGGGAAATTTAAATTAACAAAATTTACCGGAAATTTTCTCCATGACTAATCACCGTACAAACACACTTTGATATTCTAAATTATTTGTTTTTTAAGCTCTTTAAAAAGGTGTGGAAAAAATTGATAAATTTTGCGTTTTAAGGGTAACAAATTAGAAAACCCCATTTTTACCAAAAAAAAAACCCCCCGTTAAACCCCGTTCCCATGGTCGATCATGCTGGTTCGCGAACTCATTCAAGTTCATCCCGCCTTACACCTTCAAACCAAATTTTATCAAAATCGGACAAAAATTACTTAAGTTATCGTCCGGACGGACACACACACACACACACACACACACACACACACACACATATATATATGATTGAATGGTGTTTTTGGCCTCTGGGGACATCAAAATGAAAAAGTAAATCGTTCCCGGGCCTAAGTCTTACCGTGAGACCTACGGTAATAACTACTTCCATAGGGAAATTCGCTAAAACATGGAAATCTACTAAGATCAGCCGGAAATGCCATTTCAACAATTAGAGTGAGTTGCTTGCAGAAATGGATAAAAAATTAATTCCTTCCGATTTGTTTAAACTCAGACCTACTATCCCAATTTGTTACAAAATACTGTTTAATCATGTTTATTTACTAACTTTACGTCCTAATAACAGATTTTAATGGACTTCAATGACTTGAGATGTACATATATACGGATAATAATACTAAATTACTAATACAGTAGTAAAGTATCATATACGAAATTATAGTAGCCTATACTCAATAACTAATAGCAAAGCATCACTAAGCTTGAATTAAAATGTTAAGCATTTTTTACAAGGCAAAATGGATGGTGGCACAAAAATCACTTCTGATCCCAGCCGGAAAGTTAATAAAAACCGTGTCTCTCTTTTCAAATATATTTAAGCATCAGAGTCGGAACTCATTATCTGTAGAAAATGATATAAACCAACATAATGTGTATAGGGCCTACAGTAGTAGACTCTCTGCTTTAGCCAAGCGTGATGATTGTTCAGCTGGTTTCTTGTTGTATTTTAATGTTATTTTGTGTACGTAATTTATTTTTGTAAATTACGCTTACCGTTGGAAATCTATATCTATACTAATATATAAAAATGAGATGGTGTGTGTTTGTGTGTGTGTGTATGCTTGTCTGTTATCTAATAACGCAAGAACCACTAAACCGATTGAAATAAAGTTTTGAATGAAGGTAGCTTATTCTAATAACGCAAGAACCACTAAACCGATTGAAATAAAGTTTTGAATGAAGGTAGCTTATACACCTGTTTAACATATAGGCCTAGGCCTATTCCTTTTATTATATCTCCCTTGGGCTACGCCCCGTGGGCTTCCAAAGTTTCAATGTTTACATTTTGGAAGAATGTAAAATAGTAAAAAGTATTAATTGAAGTAAGCTGTAAATACTATATATACTATATATTTGACAGTTCAAACAACAGAGGTTAAGAGGTACAGCTCCTGCTCCCAAGATTCTAATGTTTTATGATTATGAGAATAGTTTGATTAATATATTTATGAAAATATACTTATTTTCATGGAAACCATAAGGATCATTACAATGTATAGTATTTTCGAATAATTTTCATATGGTAGCTTTATGTTTACAAATTTGAACTGATAAACAAATGTTTTGATCGGGATTTTAATAGATTTTAAATACCCCCGTCGCAGCAAACCTGCATCCTAAGCGAATTTCCATTTACCCGGCTTGATTTCTACTAAAATATTCCCTATAAATTTTCAGATTTATTTCCTATTTAAATAACATTAATTTTAGTGAGTAGTTAGGTTTGCTGCTACGGGGAAGATGTTGAGATGTGTTTTTTCAATTGAAATATTAATAGCTTAGTATGAAATAAACCAAATTGCCAAATTTGATTAAAATATATCCATAAACAAGCAAACTAGAACAGTTTATTTATTCTCCACAAGAATAACATGGGAATTTTAAATTTACAATTTTTTAAATTTTTTCCGTAGTCAATGAACATTCAAAAACACTTCAATATACTAAATTATTTGTTTTTTTAAGCTCTTCAAAATGGTCTAGAGAGAAATTTAGAAATTTTAAGTTTTTAGGGTCAAAAATGAGAAAAACCCATTTTTACCCCATAAAACCCCCCATAAACCCCTGATCCCATGGTCCGATTATACTGGTTCGCGAACTCGTTCGAATAAATGTAGGTTTACACGTTTGTACCAAATTTCATCAAAATCGGATCAATTTTGCTCGAGTTATCGCGCTAACGGACACATATATAAATATATATATATATATAAATATATATATATATGAATTTGAACGGATGGTGTTTTTGGCCTCTGGGGACCTCAAAACAAAAAAGTAAATCGGTCCCGGGTCTAGGTCTTACCATGAGACCTACGGTAATAGCTTATTCCCTATATGGGAAATTCGCTAAAACTAAGAAATATAACTTACTGGTGCAGTTTTAAAAATTTGACTGACTCAATGTTTACACTTTTATTTGTGTTTTAATTCAATTTACAAACTAAATTTCAACTATACCTACTTTTATTCTGTCCAGAGGTAGCTACTAATTATATTTTCTTCTATCATCTACTTCACATTCGCGTAGTTGTATATTTACAACACTGCTTTAATTTGACTATGGAGAATATCACAAAGCTGCCAGCAATTCACTTTTGTATCCAAAATCTGTAACGTAACTATGATTCTTTACTTGATGTTTTAAATAATGATGTAATTTAATGCAAATACATAAAATAGACTACGTTTTGAACTATGGAACGAGTTAAAATAATTACTGTTATGTATTTCGTTGTTCATTTATATTTAAATTGGTTAAATTTGTGCCCTAGTGGTAGGCTTTCTAACAAAAGGTAATAGGCCTACAAGTTTTCCATTAGTTTATTTTTGCTTATTATTGTGATATATACACACTGATCTGCAGGTAAAGATTGAACTTTGAAAAAAGCTCATTAGCCACGGTAAAACATATCAATTATATGTGAAATCAATATAAACTGTGTTTTTTTTTTCTTGCTTTACTACAGTGACCTTTATGTTGTGCGATTATTTTTCCTTATTTACTTTATATGTACGTTTATGAACGAAATTAATGTTTGAAAGCTTATCATTTGAAAATTGAATCGTATGGGTACATTATTTCCATAAATGCATCAGCGCCTCAAATAATTCGTACTAGGTAGCCTTATAAGTTAGCTTTAAAGAAAGATATTTGTCAAACTAAGAGTTTCAATTGAGTTATGTTCCTGAAATCAAAGGGGAATGTGTAACTATTTTATACAACAGAATTCAAGATCAAATTTTTTCGCTTCAGTGTCCTTTCCGTTGCGAAGCACGGGTACAACAGCTAGTAATTAAATAAAATTATTACAGTACAAGGCAATGTCCCCATTTTTTTTTCTCCTGACTATGCCATCGGTCACTTTTGACTAACTGAGGGACTGTTGGACCGTTTATACATTCTTTACCGCCATCTTGGATCTGTCACATGGAAGTGGATATAACTGGAATGAGAGTTAATTCAAGGTAAATAACCCTTGGGGAAAATATAATTGTTTTTTATACATTCTCTAATTTAAAACACACTGCATTTTATTTATCGGAGTAAGTAGCTGTAAGATATTCTTCAGCCAAGGTGTAATTGTTGCAGGAACGTTGGAAAAACACACGTTGGCAACATACGTTATGTAATGTACAAACTATTGATGGGGATAACGTGATCGATGCGCTTTGCTACACTAGGCAAGACTCGAGACTTTATAGCCTGAGGGTCTAAGGGAAATTTGATAACGAATAACTAAAATTGTTTCAACGTGTTCAATTAATTTAATCCTAACAGAAAAAGTCAGTAAATTTATTTTGATGTGTATCTTTTTGCACGATTACTACGAAAAGGAATTACAACAAACAAAGTAAGACCCCAACCCTGAGCTATTCTTAATAGGTATGGATTTGTATAAGACTCTGACATGGTGATATGAACGGGAACAAGAGACCTGTACCATGCCTTATAATAGTACAGTATTTGTTTGAACTGTGGAGCTGCTACTGCTAGTCGTCTTCTGGGTTTCAAGGAAGATAGGCCGCTGACGCGTAATCCTAGTTGCCTACTACAGTAATACAATAATAGTTTGGTCATTGATTCAACCTGCGGCCGACACCTCCGACATGGTCCTAGAACAGCCTCAGTCAGTCCAGTGGAGTTTCGGCTCTCTTGGCTGAAACATGACGAAACTAAATAACTTATTGCATATATAGTCAAAGTCAAGCATTTAGGGTTCTCGTTATTCTATTACGACCGATCATAAGATTCTCCTCTAAAATACGAGCCATTGATTCAGTTTTTAGGTACATACTTCCATTAGTATTTTATTTTGCATAATGCTCAACATATTATATCTCTCATTGCAACAAAAAATTTAGATAGTGCAAAAATAACAAGAAGCGTATTTTAAAAATGGGTTAAATGAGTTGGACTATTAATTTGTCAATTTCCCCTAATAATCGAGATCAGGAACACATGTGACGAGGGACGTGTGAGCCAATGAGTGGCCTGGCTTGCCAGACACCAGCGACTCCACTACTCTACTGCTGTGAGGGGCGCGGTGCGGGTATCGAGCAAGGGTGGTGGCAGCGGTGACGTGATTGGCCCAAAGAGCCACGCCTCTCGGTAGCTCCGCCCGACCACTCGGGCGTCTTCGTCGGTGTTCGGGGCACGTCGGGCGCGAGCTTCTCAGTGTCAGTAGATCAGTGACTCCGGTAACTCGTATCTCTCGTAGTTCGCGCCAAGTGTAAAATACAGTTATCAGTGACAGTGAACAGTGTGGTGTTCGCGTAGATGTGCGGAGTGACCTAGTGCCATGATGAGTGTTGGGATGCCTTGGCCCGAGGGCCAAGGCGTGTTGCCGTTACCGATGTGTACAGGAGTGGACGAGGATCTAAGGATGTGCAGTGACTCGGATAGTCAGCTGGAGTTGTCCGAGTTGATAGAGTCGATCACCTGCGACGACGCGGGACCCACGGAGGGGGGTGCGGTCGTGTCGGGCATCCTGGACTGTCTGCTGGACCGAGTGGAAGCGGCGGTCAACGCGCCCACGCGGGAAAGCGTGCAACTAAACGCGCGGCAAATCGATGACTACAGATCACGTGATAACAAATCTAACGACGTTGATCCTCAGGCCGATGACACAAAGAAGTTCCATAGAAAACGGGACCTCGATAGAAAAAGGTCCCGTAGGAGGTCAACGTCTTGCTCAACGACCTCTTCGGCGTGCTCAGACGTGTCGAGGAAACATCGACGAAAACATAAACATCACCGAAGGAAAGAAGAAGATCCTAGTCCCAGAGTGAACCCAATTTTCTTGTGGGTGAAACAGGACGATACTAGAATAGTTGAAGTTCTTTGCGAGGACTACGACAAAAGAAATAGGATTAGGTTGACCAAAACTGCTCACGGCTGGAGAGCGATGCCTAGGACGGAGCGCCTCGACTCCGCTCTGTCTAGGAGCTCATTGGACCTTTCCCCCTCTCCGCCACCGACGACGGAGTGCCCCTCTCTAGTCTCCCACCCCCAGACCAAAGAGAAGAAGAAGACGAAAAGGTGTGTGTCTAGAAAGAATAAACGCTGTGATAGAAAAAGAGACAAAAGCTTTAAAAATGAAGATTACGTCAATGTATGTAAACACGTTGATGTTGTAAATAATAATAACTGTAGTTTAAGTAATAATAACAATAATGTTGAAAATAGGGTAGTAACTGAGTCCAATATATCTGATCCTACGTTGAGAAGTTTCGGGTACAAAAAAGCGTGCCATCAAAGTTTGAAACTAAGTAAAAAGAAGAGAGACAATAAGTTGGATGATGTTGATGTATATGATTTTGTGGATACACCAAATACGGAGTCCGACCAAGCTGAAGATGATACAGAGCCGAATTGTGAGCACAAAATAGAAAATGTACAAGTGAAAAATGAAATATTGCCACAAACACGTGATGAAGATATGGAAAATGGAGTTGATTCCACAGAATATGTCACCGAATGTCACATTACCAGCACCCATCAGTCAGGCAGCACAATCATCAGTGAACCTGAACACTCTGAGCAAGTAACATGCTCAAATGAGAGTGTAGGAATTAAGGAATCTACATTAGGGCTCCATGAAGAGTTGGCCACAGTAGCTGATTCATCCGTTGAGATCAAGAGTGTCACAGAACCAATTTCTACTGATAAAGTTGAATCATCTGTCGACAAAGATGAAATGTCAGAAGGACAAATAAATAATACACTTAAGGTAGCAGAAGGGATGGACCCCTCACTGAAATTAGAAGAGAATAGTCAAATACCACTAGCAAATCTTCTAGATAGCAACCAGACACTGGTTACTCCTACTAACATGCAGGACTCAAACGAGATCATCAAACCTTCTGAAGAAACGCCCATTTGTAAAATAGAAAAACCTCACACATTTAGCGAAGAAACATGTTTACCAACGGACACTACCGTAAGCAAACCATCACAGATTGAAGAAGCGCAAGAAGTAGAATCTAGTACAGGTGAAAAAGTTGATGATAAAAAATCCGACGCAATAGAGGGCAACATTCAAGAGGACGACGCAGAAGATGAACCTCTCCAAGACATAATTCTACCTGAACCACATCTTCAGACTCCAGAGCCGTCTCCACAACCAGTACCTGAACCTTCTTCTGAAGAGCCGCAAAAGAGCTTGGTTGAAATATCTCTCCAGCCTGAAACATCGTTAGATTCAGACGCTATCCATCTACCGGACACTACAACTAAATCTGATTCATCAAGTTTGATTAGCACTGATATTTCTTTAGGTCAAAAACTGTCTATTCCTAAACCCCAAGCTGAACTAGACAGCCAGTCGAGTCAGTCTACAACTTTAGATGACCACCTTCATACTGAAACCAAATCTATAACAGAACTAGGTCAACAAACTCGAAATCAGTTGAAAACTGCAGAAATGATTCGCCAGGAGGAGATTGAAAGACAAATAACTGCAGATTTAGACGAAGATCACCTTTTGGCGATAGAAGAAATCCTTCAAGGAGAAGAATGTGTTGAGGATTTTAGTGACGATGACTTGCCAGAAGAATATTCAGCAAGTCACGATTCATCTCCTGTAAATTTAGTTATAGACTTGAAAAGTAAGGACCAAGTAGATAACAGAGGAATACCACTTTCTCTCAGAACTGATGACTTCCTAGAGATGTTTCCAACCCCTCCACCTCCAATGAAAGACCCCAATGAAATGATATCTCCAGTGCCAGTTACACTAGCTACTAAGAAGGAGGAGGTGAAAGATGAAAAGAAAATTCCTCATGCTCACCAACAGAGCAAAACCAAGTTCCTAGAATCTATTTTGTCTTGTCCAAAAAGAAGTCATAAAACAGCTGAAAAACCTGACTCTTCTGATCAGCAAGAGCCTTTGTATTTAGGTGTATCAAGGAAAAGTGCCAGTCCAACAGTTAGTTCATCAGATGGGAGAAAGTTTTCGTCACCAGAGTTAGAACCTAAGCCTAAACGTATAAAAGTTGAGGATATAACATTGAAAACCATTTTGAACCGAAACAAAGAATCGTTTACAAAAAATAAAGTCAGCAAAATTAATAACATTGAAGATACTCAACAAACTGCAGATTCAACCACGAAATCAAGGCTGCTAGAACTATTAACCAACGAAAACGATGAGCACATCAGTAAAATGGATCCATTAACCCAGCTTAAAGAAGTCCTTTCAGATCCCGAATTGAATGTCCCTGATCCATTATTGGTACCCAGAGAAAGACTCCCAGCCTTGGTCGCAAATCCAGCAAAAGAAATACCAAAGCTTTTGACAATGAAATCTGAAAACCTCTCATATCCAAAATTGCTAACCGACCCAGATTTGCTAGTCGTGTCTCTCTCTCACCTGCAGAGCCTTCTACAAGTCGCTGGTAAAGAAGAGGAAATGCTGAAATACCAACAACAGGCACAGTATTTGCAACAACAGATGAAACAAGAACAAGCTACTTTAGACGCAGCTACTGCTACTGCCTTAAATCAAATGATGTGGCTACCATATCTGAGTCAGTTGGAAGCAGCTGCTATGGCATGTGGAAATACACAAGACTTTATGACTATGCTAAACATGGTATTCCCTTCAGGAACGTATCCACAGATGACGAATCCATATCTCATGCCTACAGCTACCTCTCCAGGAATTAACGCCTACGACTACAAAAGTCAGCTGGAGTTTCAACAAGCGTTTGCTTTATGGAACGAGGCTATGATGCAGGCAGCTACGAACCAATTTGCCGCACAGTCTCTTTCATCATCTAATCCAAATAACATATCAAAATTTTATCAAAACTACCAAGACACTAAGTATACTCCAAAATCCCAAACGCCTGCAGTCAGCAAACATCAAGAAACCAAACATACAGCTGCGAGAACTAGCCCTATCAGTCAAAATTATCAGCAGAATAAATACAGATCTAGTAGTCAGTTCCCGTACACTTCAATGTTCAGCATTCCGACCTCTACACCCACGACATCTCTTTCCTCCAGTACTTCCCAATACAAAACAACGCCGTCAGCACAATCTCAATCATATACGGGAAAACAAAGAAGTTATAACTACAACGGATATTCATCACTCACCCCGAAGACCGAACCTTCAACTGTAAGCGCTCTTAATGGATCAGAGTTGTTCAGCAGGAGTCATCCACCAAAGCAGAACAGCAGCGTCACTACAAATTACAATACCAAAGCGATGATGAACTTTCTTTCCAAGCCCAAGCAGCCAGATGTTAAAAACCAAAGCCATGTCAGCAAAGTATATCCAACTTCCACAACTATGATCCCAAAAGAGACTACCATCAAGATGACTTCACAACCTGTAAAGATTACTTCGGATCCTCCCAAGTTAAAGGTCAAGCAACCTCAGCATTTAGTGGATCCCAACTCCAGACCGAAACTTCTCAACTTCGACGAGCACGGTGAGGTTGGCAGTACCACTGGATCACTCACTCCACATGTCGACGAGAATCATCCAAATCTGTGGCATCCTCTCTTTAGCAGGTAAGATTGTACTTTTTTCAATGTTTTACAATCACAATTGCCATGGACTAGCCTAATAATTTATTACTTGTCATTTGCAATGCGTAACGACTACAATAATTAACAGCATTGAAACATTAAGTGTCAATCTAGATTATATGTCTTCAGTGTAATCACTTAAATTATTTTTTGAATAAAGAAAAAAAGAAATTCAATCTTTTTACAAGTCATCTAATTAAAACAGTACTTTTAATTAGACCAGTGAGAGGCCCATCACCTCAGATTTATTACATTTAGCGAACTCACCCTAGTAGGTGAGTAATTTGTCATGGTAATGTCTACGCCCTTTACCAAAAGGGGCAAACATCTGCTCTTTTAGATAGTTGATTAACATATTGTATTGTTGAACTCTCATACGAATTAACCAATAAACAAACTTGTCGCCAATCACCAAAAAACCAACAGTGAACAGAGACCCAACATTTAATTTCGGTTACTATTGCTACAGTACCAATAAGACAGTAACCACACCCCATCCCCAGCACTCGTACACGTTGGGGTTGAATTTGGCAGGCAGTAGCCTACGATACATCCATGGGTGTCAAGGCCAGGGCAGCGTCGCGCTACGCCAGTCGGCGGTGGTAAACATTGATCTCAGTCAATGTACGACAAGTAGGTCTCGCCCTTAACCTCCCCACACCCCATCCCCAGCACTCGTACCGTTGGGGTTGTATGGCAGACAGTAGCCTACGATACATCCATGGGTGTCAAGGCCAGGGCAGCGTCGCGCTACGCCAGTCGGCGGTGGTAAACATTGATCTCAGTCAATGTACGACAAGTAGGTCTCGCCCTTAACCTCCCCACACCCCGTCGCTAGCACTCGTACCGTTGGGGTTGTATGGCAGACAGTAGCCTACGATACATCCATGGGTGTCAAGGCCAGGGCAGCGTCGCGCTACGCCAGTCGGCGGTGGTAAACATTGATCTCAGTCAATGTACGACAAGTAGGTCTCGCCCTTAACCTCCCCACACCCCGTCGCTAGCACTCGTACCGTTGGGGTTGTATGGCAGACAGTAGCCTACGATACATCCATGGGTGTCAAGGCCAGGGCAGCGTCGCGCTACGCCAGCCGGCGGTGGTAAACATTGATCTCAGTCAATGTACGACAAGTAGGTCTCGCCCTTAACCTCCCCACACCCCGTCGCTAGCACTCGTACCGTTGGGGTTGTATGGCAGACAGTAGCCTACGATACATCCAAGGGTGTCAAGGCCAGGACAGCGTCGCGCTACGTCAGTCGGCGGTGGTAAACATTGATCTCAGTCAATGTACGACAAGTAGGTCTCGCCCTTAACCTCCCCACACCCCGTCCCCAGCACTCGTACCGTTGGGGTTGTATGGCAGACAGTAGCCTACGATACATCCATGGGTGTCAAGGCCAGGGCAGCGTCGCGCTACGCCAGTCGGCGGTGGTAAACATTGATCTCAGTCAATGTACGACAAGTAGGTCTCGCCCTTAACCTCCCCACACCCCATCCCCAGCACTCGTACCGTTGGGGTTGTATGGCAGACAGTAGCCTACGATACATCCATGGGTGTCAAGGCCAGGGCAGCGTCGCGCTACGCCAGTCGGCGGTGGTAAACATTGATCTCAGTCAATGTACGACAAGTAGGTCTCGCCCTTAACCTCCCCACACCCCGTCGCTAGCACTCGTACCGTTGGGGTTGTATGGCAGACAGTAGCCTACGATACATCCATGGGTGTCAAGGCCAGGGCAGCGTCGCGCTACGCCAGTCGGCGGTGGTAAACATTGATCTCAGTCAATGTACGACAAGTAGGTCTCGCCCTTAACCTCCCCACACCCCGTCGCTAGCACTCGTACCGTTGGGGTTGTATGGCAGACAGTAGCCTACGATACATCCAAGGGTGGCAAGGCCAGGGCAGCGTCGCGCTACGTCAGCCGGCGGTGGTAAACATTGATCTCAGTCAATGTACGACAAGTAGGTCTCGCCCTTAACCTCCCCACACCCCGTCGCTAGCACTCGTACCGTTGGGGTTGTATGGCAGACAGTAGCCTACGATACATCCAAGGGTGGCAAGGCCAGGGCAGCGTCGCGCTACGCCAGTCGGCGGTGGTAAACATTGATCTCAGTCAATGTACGACAAGTAGGTCTCGCCCTTAACCTCCCCACACCCCGTCGCTAGCACTCGTACCGTTGGGGTTGTATGGCAGACAGTAGCCTACGATACATCCATGGGTGTCAAGGCCAGGGCAGCGTCGCGCTACGCCAGTCGGCGGTGGTAAACATTGATCTCAGTCAATGTACGACAAGTAGGTCTCGCCCTTAACCTCCCCACACCCCGTCGCTAGCACTCGTACCGTTGGGGTTGTATGGCAGACAGTAGCCTACAATACATCCAAGGCTGTCAAGGCCAGGGCAGCGTCGCGCTACGCCAGTCGGCGGTGGTGATCAATAATCTAGCCTACTGTATCTGTATCGGGGAGCGAGCTGGCGTAGTGGTTAGAGCGCGGGACTTCAGTCCCTGAGGTCCCGGGTTCAATCCCCGCCAAGTCACCAATGGATTTGATCTAAGTGATAATGCCGCAACCCCTAGGTCTAGCCTGAAGTAATGTGAAAAACAATCCCAGGCTCGTGCCTAGCGTCCTTAGGACAAAAAAAAAAAAAAAAAAAAAACTGTATCTGTATAGGAGGTAGTCCGTACCCTTAACCCCGTCTTGTTCCGGCCTTTAAACAAGATATACTGTACTTTCAAAATTTGTCTTGTCAATAATGAAAATCTACTCTATCTTATAAATAACAACTTAAACTCTGTGAATTTACGGTCTAGCATCTGAATAAGGCAATGTCTGATGGTAGAGCGGTTACTTGTGTGAATATTATTGTATCAAATGTTGCCATTCTACCTTGTCAATGCAGTGAGATACCAACAAAACTGATTTCATATTAATGATCACCACACACACAGACATGGACGTATTTTATATGAGTCTGGTTCAATCAGTACAGTAATACTGTAATGTTATTACCTCGACCGTAGCCAAAGTGTTGCCACGTTCAGGTCTAGGTCGTGACGTGATGATGATGATTTACATAGTGAAAGTAGGGTACTGAACATTACCTAGTGTCTATAGTGAGGGTGCAACATCCCCCCTCCCACAACCCACAACACAGGGCGGCGGCGGGGAGGCGGCGTTCCCCTTTAACCTGGATATTGAACGCCAACGCTATCCAGACGCGTTTAATTTAGAACTCCCGTTGTACTCCAGTACTCCACTTCGCCACTCACTTCCTGATTCACCAGTAGGGCATTCAACTTGGATCAATCTCTCCAGATTCATTCATAAAATGTTCTGTGGTTATTATATGGCCAAAGTTTGATGATTGGCGTGTACATATAATATTAACGTAGTGTGTAACTCATGCTCATAGCTTTATCGCATTGACAAGATCATTTCTTAATTGTTGAACCGGGCATACTGTGTGTTTTTATGAATCTTATTCCAAAGTTAATATTAATATCAATCATTATTCGCGATAATTTTGAAGAACAGTATATTATTCAACATCAGACATAGTGTTACAAACTCCCAGTATATGGTATAGGTTGGGTTACTGTACTTGGAGGCATGTGTACACCACGTGTAAGCGGAAAAACACCAAACGCAGGTATAAACGAGGTTCTGATATATAGCAACAACTAGAGTTTACGTGTTTAGCTACATAGTAGGCCTAAATGTTCACAAACAAAAATGCACCAAGTGCTAATATTCTATTGTTAGTCTGTGAACAAGAGTGTACCATAGGTGTGGAATCCCGGATTCTAGTAGAGAAGAAGATTGCCTCTAGATTAGGACTCAATTATAAACACTTCTCGGCTTATTTTACAATGACTATCGTATCGGGCAGTTATATTTACTAAATTTCGTATGGTAAAGTCGTTATTATATCATATGGCATCTATGTTGTACTGCAGCAGGAGCAGAGGAGGATCTGCCCAAAGCCACACTATACCACACTATATCAAACTATACTACACTATACCACACTATACCACACTATACCACACTATACCACACTATACCACACTATACCACACTATACCACACTATACCACACTATACCACACTATACTACACTATACCACACTATACCACACTATATCAAACTATACTACACTATACCACACTATATCAAACTATACTACACTATACCACACTATACCACACTATACTACACTATACCACACTATACCACACTATACCACACTATACCACACTATATCAAACTATACTACACTATACCACACTATACCACACTATACTACACTATACCACACTATACCACACTATACCACACTATACCACACTATATCAAACTATACTACACTATACTACACTATACCACACTATACCACAATATACCACACTATACCACACTATACCACACTATACTACACTATACCACACTATACCACACTATACCACACTATACCACACTATATCAAACTATACTACACTATACTACACTATACCACACTATACCACAATATACCACACTATACCACACTATACCACACTATACCACACTATACCACACTATACCACACTATACCACACTATACCACACTATACCACACTATACCACACTATACTACACTATACCACACTATACCACACTATACCACACTATACTACACTATACCACACTATACCACACTATACCACACTATACCACACTATACCACACTATACTACAATAACTATAGTATTATAGTGTGGCCTTGATCTGCCACCGTTACCTTAATCCTATACAGTAATAGCATTGAGAGTGTCAATGCCACAAAGCATAATACTTTTTATGTCGGGTTAGCAAGAAGCGGCATCTGATTTCTTGAAGCCTTCTATTCGTGTTTTTTTTTTTTTTAAGTAAGTCTTAGGGTTTAGGGTTAAAAATTTAAAAAATTTCTATCAAACCTCTTCCAAATTGAATAGTCTTGGA